TCCCCCCCCCAACGCGCCCGAAGACAGCGAGATGACAAAGCCGCTCCGTCCTCCTTCCCCTCGACCCCACGGCACGCGCCCTGGTACCCCACGAGCCCTATTCCCATTGCCACCCCGCCACCTTCCCAGGGAACCGGTGCCAGCAGCGTCAGGGGGTGTATAGGGAGGAAAATTAATCCACGAGCAACACTCAACCCTTCTGGCATCGCTGCGAGCCCCCGGGTCACCCTACCATTGTGATCCCCAGGCTCCAGATATCGGATTTGACGCTGTACCCCTTCTGGTTCAGCTCCGGGTTAATTCTTTCAGGCTGTGAACAGAGACAAAGGCGGCTGAGGGACACGGATGGCCCCAGTGTAACATCCCCACTCAGATGGGTCTTTCTGGGAGGCAGGCCAAGACCACTTAGCCCAGGCCACCAGCTTGCTCTCTTGGTTGTCATGGGGCCAGATCTGGTCCCACATCCTTGCCAGTAAGGGCAGGCAGTGAAATGAGGCACCAGAACCAGATGGTACCTGCATGAGGGATTGGGCTGGTGGAGCTGACCCAGCACATCTGGCATGTAGGGGGTGACAAGCCCAAGTTCTCCAGGATTGTTTTCATCCCATGCAAGTGCTCCAGAGAGAGTAAATCCTGAACAGCAGCTCCCAGGAGGAGTGTGAGGGACCCACTCCTTGGGGGCTGTTTTCCCTCCCAGATGGAAAGTACTATGATCCCCACAGGGCAAACAGCAAAAATGCAACACGCAGTAATGACAGAGCCTTCCCCAAGGTCACAGGGAGGTGATCAAGCAGCAGGAAGCTCTGCCCAGGAGATCTGATCTGACTCATGAGATCTGTCTCCCCTCTCTGCCCCTTCACAAGCAACTTGAGGGATACGTCTTCCAGAACAAGTCCCCAGGACACATGCCGGAGGCTGATCCTTCCCCATTTATGACGACCCGATGCCCAGGCTCATGTTCCTCTGGCTGTCCCGCAGCAGCTTCCACCCGGAGCTTCTCCGCGGCTCAACTTACAGCCATGTAGGGTTTGCATCCTGCATCCATGGTTTTAGCAACCGAGTCAACGAGGTAACCGCTAATTCCAAAATCGCACATTTTCACCTGCCCCTGCGTATTGATCAACACGTTAGAGGGCTTTACATCTGCAAGAAGGAACACATACCACAGTCACTGTCACGCATGGGTGGCTGTGCCAAGCCAAAAAAAGCCAAAGAGCTTCCTAGCAGCAGAGGGCACCAGAGGTGTCCGTGCAAACCCCTGCGCTTTGTGCATGCCAGAAACCCAGCTGGCTGCAGCTATTGCCAGTTCAGGCGACTGTCTCATGGGCCTATCATATGTCCTGCAAGTGTCCCTTCGCTTGCACACTCCTCTCCCTGATTTGGGGGAGCAGGAGGTAACCCTGCACGTAACGGTGGTATCCCACTGAGCACAGGATGGCCACGGACATCAGAGTGCTAACAGGGGAACAGCTCAGCAGGGCTGGGGGCATCTCCAGAGGATGTCTGCAAGTGGCTGGAGCTCTGGCAAGTGCCCAGCTGGATCTGGTCTCATGCCAGCAAAAGGAAAAAAACATGAGGAAGGGTTGTGGGGTGGGCAGCAAAGGGTGGGGAGGAGCAGGGGTTGCAGGGGAAGGAGGGAGCAGTAAAGTAAGACAAGGATCATGATTTCAGAAATGGTCTCTAATTTTAAGGATAACCAAGCTTGAAGGCAATGTGAACAGCAGCAGGCGTGTGGGTGCTCCACACCTTATGGAAATCAGGCCAGTGCCTCATCTATTTATTACTGCCAGATTTATCCGCTTCCCATCATGGCCTTACAATCCTTGGTGCATTCACACTTGCAACACTCTCATGAAGGCAGTCATAATCCCCAAGAGAAAGGGAAATTAAGGCACAGAATAAAGCTAGAAGTGCTAACCACAAGAGCATGGAGGTGCTCTCCTGCACAGCAGGTAATCGCTCCCTGTGAGGCTAATCCCAGACGAAATCTCAGCACAGCGCAGGTGACCCTGTTTGTTCTTGTCCCAGCACTGATCATCGAAAGGGAGCAATTCTTTCCCTGTTGCCACCCAGAAATAAGAGGTCTCTTCTCCAAGAAGATCCTCTGTCTACGTGTGATAAACTATTAAACAGAAGAGCTGAGCACCATCTGAAGGAGGACAAGAAGCTGCTTTTGAGTTCTGCGTATTGGAATTGGGTGGTTAACAGTTTGTTAACGTTTGCTCTCCAATCAGCACTTGGCAATCAAAAGCTGCAGGTATCTGAGATCCTCACCCATCCGTTACTACGCTGAAACAAGACAATTTTCAGTGGAAAGCAAACGAGCAAACAGAAATCCAGAAGCCGAGCAGCATTTTCCACCTACTGTAAACGATACAGAAGGCAGAAGCTCAACCCCCAGCCACATGCAGAACGTACAAAATGTGTCTGCCTGCTAGAGCTGAACTCTGCTCGCTTCAGATGCTCCTTTCCCCGTCAGCCCCACGCTCCGGAGAAGCCTTTTCCCTCCTCATGACAAATTGAAAACGACCCTTTAAAAATAAAGGTGTCAAGCACCAACACTGCAAATTTGTTTCTTTCTAGGTGTGTTCATGGCATCTTTGAGATGCTCTAGAGAGGAAAATGTCAGAAGAGTTTAAGGAGGGTATTTATGACTTCACTTGAGGCTATTTGAGGTATCAAACCACTCTGCCCCACCAGTGCTCAGGGAAGCTCACAGAGGAGGATGAGGATGGTTAGGTCACCATGTGAGGCATCATGCCAGCACAGAGACGTCTCTCATGTCAACATGGAGCTGCCGAGGTGGGGGAGAAGCCTTCACAAAGCCTGATCCAAAGCCCACCAAGGGGAGAGGGAAAAGTCCATTTCAATTTTGCAGAGGTGTTGAAGCAGACGGCGGATTTAGACTGTGCGTTAGGGACATGCAACCCAGGGGGAAACAGCCCTTCCTCTGGAGCTCGCTTCTCCCCAGGAAAAACGCTGGGACCACCGCGCGGTTTTTAAAGAGCAAACCAGCAGAGCTTTCCTCTGACTAGGTTTTGCTAGTCATGAAGACGCCGGGGAATATTTTAGCTGTCAAAGGCTCATTTTATCTGGTGTATTTTGGGAGCCCCGTGCCCGGCCACAGGGCCAGCCCTTGCCAGGCTGAGCACGGGCGGTGCAGGACAGACGGACAGCAGCACAGCCACGGCTGTGTGCGGGGCACTCACCTCTGTGGATCACGGAGAGCTTACTGTGTAGATGTTCTAGTGCTTTTACAATCTGAAACGACAAACATAGAGTGAATCCCAGCTGGCATCAGGATAAGGAGGAAACGCTATCTGGTTGCACCCACCCACCCTCACCAGATCTGCTTGGAGGAAAGGAACTACATCTCAAAGGAGTCCTGCACCCTCACAGCAGCCCGAGGTGATAGTGGGTACCCAGGGATCTCCTTGGGGCTCCAGGACCCTAATGAGAAGGCAAGGAGCTGCAGCACCCTCCCACATTCCTCAATTAAGTGTAGAGGCATATTTTGGATTATTTATGGCTTATAAATAACATCACCTCAAACCAGATACTGGAAGCCAGCTAGGAATGTCCACGTGGGCTGGCCTGTGGATCATGCTCTTCCTGGTGCAAATACAGCAGGGAGCTTGGGTCATGTAGGACTTGGCTTAAAAGAGAAACACCCTTTCCCTTCCCTCCTCACCCTGCTAATACTCACAGAGACAGCTATTTTCCCTAAGATGTCCTCAGGGATCGTCAGGCCTTTGTCAATGACGTGTTTGTAGAACTTGTCCAGTGAGGTATCCATCAGCTCCATGCAAATCCACACATCTCCCTGGAGGATAAAGCAAGCAAATATCTGCCCACTGGAACGAAGTATCCCTTCCTTTCCTTTTTCCTTTCCTTTCCTTTTTCCTTTCCTTTCCTGCGTAAAGGTCATCTATTGCCACTTGCCCTTCGCTGGCCTGTTTGCCTCTTCCCTGTCTTTTAAAACTCACCCAGTAAAGCTGTACTGGGCTTTCTTTTTCCCTCCTCTCCAGCTGGAATTAAGTGCCATCCACCTTCACTAACATTTAGGGCATATTTTCTGCTGTCTTTTCCCAAAGCAGAGTCCTGGCGATTTAGGAGCCCAGAAAGCTCTTGGGACTGAGGCTCCTACAGGTTCAGGTCACTGCAAATGCTCAGCCAGGAAAAGTTCAGCTCTGCTGAGCTATGCTTAAAACTCTTCAATAAATCTTGCTTTTCAGAGCTTTCCACGTTTTCCCTCCATGTGGCTTTCTCATTGCAAGTCAGGACAATATTAACACTAACAGACCAGGCTGTGAGTGGGTGTCCTCAGTGCCCAACTGTCTCCATCACTCAAACCCACCAAGCCCCAGCATCTCAGCACCGAGGCCTCGCTCATCCCTGGCACTGGGGCCTCGCTCATCCCTGGCACTGGAGCTTGGCTCCTCCTCGTGCGGGACCGCATCCCTCCTCGCTCACCATGAACTAACTGTACATGACAGATCCTTAGGCTGGGATTGAGCAAATCCATATTGTACCAAGTCTCCATGGCCAGATGGTGATTAAACCTCTGGCACTCGGAGAGAGTCTAGAAGTGGGAATTCAGAGCCTGGGAGAGGACCCAGGCTCCCAGGGGCAGCGCAGCTGATCTCCAGGATGCCATACCTCTCGGAAAAGTGCCCCGTAAAAGGTGACAGTGAAGGGGCAATCTACCGTCCTCATGGAGATATCCAGATCCATCAATAACCTCTTCTGCTCCTGGCTGTTCACTGTGGCTCGGATCCGCTGGAAGACAAAGCATTTTAGCATTGGCTGTCAGCACCTCCGTACCACGCTGCTGCTGCACGGGACTTGCCGCAGTTGTGCCCGTGCTGGCCACAGTGCCTTGACATCAAGCCTTTACCCTTTCTTCACACCTCGTGGTGTTACCTTTTTATCATACCTCTTTGCCATGGGCACATCGCAACCGCAGCACCCACAGCAGGAGCACTGCTATGCCACAGAGGCAATGGTGGCTGAAGAGGTCTTCTCACCTCAGCCCAAACTGCAGGTCATTTGGCTCTTCCCTGCAAACACCACTCTTTTTGCAACAGCCAGAAGTCACTCTGGCTTGGGAGAGGAGAAGGGAGTAGGAAATAAAATTTTAGGCTGGTGAAAAGCTGTGACTTTTGGAGCTGCAGTGGACACCTATGTACATTAGCAGATCTGTGTCACAAGAGAGGGGTCCAGCCCTGCAGCCAGAGCCCATGTGCTCCCTGTGGCTTTGGAAAATGGACATTTCCCAGCCTCCCAGGGAAGAGATGTCATTTATGCGAAATACCTGGAGACCTGCAGCTGGGAAGGACCACAAAGGGGCATGACACAGTCCAACAGAGGTCACACACATATTCCAGGCTCCTTGGCCAAAGCCACTCGAGGTCATTAATATTACAGAACTAAGCTGTTCAGTATTGCAGATGCAAATAATAGCCTGAATGTTCCTGCCATCCCCTCTTCAGCTCTTCCACCACACTCAGAGAGGTCTCTTGCAGGTTAGTGAACACCAGAGCAAACAAGAAGACCAAATGCAAGAGCATGGAGGCCTCGAGACACATCCCAGCATCCACAGCAAAGTCTGTCCACAACTGAGGAGCTAAGAATTTTCCTTCAGTTTGCTCATAGCTTCCAGCTCTGCACCTTTTCTTGCTTTTTTCTTTATTTTGAAAGGAAACTTGAGCTAAAATTCAGCCCAGCAAAAATTGGTCCTTCCCAAAATACAGACTTTCCCATGACTATTTCCTTAAGCTGCAAGCTTATGAGTCTAAACTGGTGTTAGAAAACTTTTTATATGAGTATCTACAAGCCTGTCCTGAATCAAGATCCCACTGTAGCAGACAAAACATGAAAGACCCAGCAAAAATTTCCTGTTTCAAAGCGACTAAAAAAGTCCTAGCTGAAGAAAATTATCTTATGCAATTAAATTTACAGCACACTGTTCTTTACAATTACAATTAGTGTGCAGAGCCCTGAATCTGAGAGTATATCTACACTAGAAAAAAAAAAAGCATATTTTAAAAATGATGGCAAATAGCTTTTGAAATCCTAGTGAAAACAGGAATTTTGCAGACATAGGGGAATGATATGTTTGTACGCGCAACGCTGGAAACACGTTGAGCATCATACTTACAAACCACTCCCCTTTTCTTGGTTAAATGGCCAAAATTACCCCAGCATTCTTTCTCCTTGCGTAGAAAGAGGATTTCATAAGGAAAGAAGCCAATCCCAGTAAAGGCATGCATCAGAACAAGCGAGACTAGAGACGTGCACGAAGGAGAGGGTGTCCAGACACAGGGATACAGACAGAAGGCACCCCAGGAGATTCACCCTACCTTCACAGCCATGATCTGCCCGCTTGGCATGTGCCGCATCTTCTCCACCACCCCGTACGCACCTCGTCCCAGCTCGGAGATGGGCTCCAGGTCATCAGCTTTCACCTCAAAGTTCTGCAGGGGGGAAAAAGGCCATCAGCATGAGGGTGGCCGCGGGGAGCCAGCACCACCAGCATCCCCAGCAGGGTGGGCGCAGGAAGCACCGATCCTCCGGTGGGATGCTCCCCCCCGGCCACCCATACCTGTGTCTCTCCCAGCTACCTTTAGCCACCAGCACCTTCAGCTTCTCCATCCTCTGAGGGCTGGGATGGAAAACGCCACGGAGCTTCTCCCCTAGGAATTGTCTTCAGCCTTTTTTTTTTTTCCTTCTGTCCTCCTCCTCCCACAAACAATCATGGAAATATCTCTATTTTTTTTTTTTAAGGCCTGTAAAAGCTTATTCCTCCAAATCTGTAGATGGGCCAAGTACCAGCTGAGTGTGCCCCATTTTGAAACCACGGAGGATTTATTTTGTCTAGCATTCGAGAGCTCTTTTCTCCTGCCCTTGCACAGAGGATGACTTTGTTTGGAGCCCTGCATTCTAACCTGCCCTTCTCCTTTCTACCATGACATTGTGCAGCAGCTCTATATCCTGCTTATTATTATTTTTGGGTGTTTAAAACACGCCTTTGCAACTAAAACCAGCCATTCTGTTTGCGCAGCCACATCAGTCAACCATCCTACAGAAAGACGCGGGTTATAACGAACTGATTCACAGCGCATAATCCCACACCGCTTTTTGCCGGCACGGCAGGAAAAAAAAATTAAAAAAAAAACAACCCTGCAGCCTGAAACGTGCTGGCTGGGGATGCCACGGGGCGCAGTGCCCGCACACTGCGTTACTGTGCCTTCGGGCTCCCGGTCGCGCGCTCGCAGCTACGTCGCCGGCAAAAGGAGCCCTGACTGAGGTTTTTGTGTCACGGTGGAGCTGTAAGCATCTCTGACTGCCCAACACTGCTCCTACTGTTCACCACCACCCTCTCCAGAACAGCACTTTGATTTTCTCAAGGCCACTCTTAAATTTAGCAGCAAAGTTTAAAGGGAGAGTGGCTTTCCTTAGGGATCGGGGTGAGCGGAGAAAGGCTGCTGGAGGAGGGAGCACATCCTGAAGGACCTTGGCTGGACAAGCAGATCTATGGGAAACACAAGCCATGGCATGTCAGCCCCTCCGAGATAGCCACATATCTCTGTCTGCAAAAAGGACTGAGCTCTGGGTTTTACAAGTGCGTTCCTCTTTGCACCGTCCAACACGGGCTCTCTGCCTCCGTGCATGGAGCCTTTTTGGAGCACTTGAGCTTTTCCTCATCCCTGGGACCGCAGGGGAGAGATGATTTTCTTGGAGCAGGCGCTTGCTCTAGCAGCAGGCATTTTCTCTGCCTCGATGCTGCACCATTTTGCTCCAGAGGCAT